GAAGTTCTACCTCACCCGCCATATTCTCCAGACCTTTCACCAACCGACTATCACCTTTTCAAACATTTTCAGAACTTCCTTGCTGGAAAATACTTCATCAATCAGGACCAGGCAAAAAAGCCTTCGTGGATTTCGTGGATTCTCGACCACCAGTTTTTTTTTCTTTGATGGGATTTATCGACTGGTGTCACATTGGCAAAAGTGTGATTCGAACGGTGCTTATTTCGATTAAATCCGATGAGTATTAAGAAAGTTATGATCGTTTAAAGTGAAACACTCAAAACGCTGAGAACTTTCCGGACAACCTAATAAGACGGGCCGTGACTGCGCGGTCGCGGGTTCTGTACTAGGGCTCACATTCCCATAACCAAAGGAGCAAAGTAGCAGATCCACCGTACAGTTTTTTTTTACTTCGTCATATGTGCGCGGTCCGTGTTCAAATCCCAGATCAGTTCTCACCCAGGCCTAATCAGAAGCGAACCTTCCACCCTCCGAAGACGGTGAATTATAGTACCTTCTTATAGGAGGACAAGACACTGACTTGTACATCAACTGGCCCCACAAGTGTCTGTAAAGGCCACATCGTATTCAATAAGCCACTACAATTCCGTGAAGAATTGGAAAGCGTGCCTGTTTCGAATTCGATCAACAGCAAAAACTTTGTCCTTTGATCTTTTTATCCACTCCTGAGCTTGAACTTCACCGGCCTTACACTCGTGAACTTAATTTCCTATGATCACTTCTTCTCACGCTGTACTGGTATAAATGTATTGTCAAGAAGGTTCTGTGTCTTTGGGGAAATCACTTTAGTTCCCCAGGAATCACTTGCGGATCATCTCTCATGGATCAAGTAGCGAGAACTGAAAGATCGAAAGCGCGCTTTAATGACGATTGCTTCCGTAAGTTTGATAATTTGTGGTATTGTTTGCACCTAATCATCACCGGGAAACCAGATCAGCCCGTTTATGGTCGCTGTTCACGGAAGGCCACTCGATGATTCATCATTTCGCGATCACTCTCCCCCTTGTTCTGTTCGTTCGGGTTCATTATTCGTCGGGTTCATTGAAGACAAGCGTGCTACCTAGCTCGATGCTGACCATTTACTTGTCACTTTTATTCGCTTTGCTTTCCTCGACGTCTTCCCTCAGGTGCTATAAGGGATACTCGATTCTCAAAGGTAGGCCTTTTAATTTATTCAACTCATTAAAGGTTATGTATAAAGCTTCAATAGAGTATGATTTTAAGGATGAGGGTCGGGATGTTCTACTTGATAGGCTGTCTGCTAGAAATGATGGGATAAGCTCGCTTAGAACAAACTTCCAAGTACATGTTCATAATTCGTCAGTCCCTTTATAGAGGCAGTTCGGCATGATGGGGGCATTTTACTGGCTCCTTGTAACCGCTACCGATGCCTCCTATACAGACCTTAAATTCTTGAAAAGCCATTCGAAGAACATGAGCTTCTTTTACCCTGAACAGGAAGCTATGGATCTTACTAAGGCGGAACGTGTAATTTAACAGCAACTAGCAAGAGAAACTAGGGAAAGTCCAAAACACCCCACCCCCCCCCCCTAATATAGTATAGTGTAAGGTATTGTAGCGTCATACAATGTGTGTAAGACAAATTATCTTATGTTCATGTTACTGGTCTCACAGTCAATTGTTAATTATTATATGGGAGTCAATATAAGGAGGTGAGGCGGAGGTGGTGTAGTGACAAGCGCTTACCACTCGCGCGGCGCCGGGTTCAAATCCCGGGTCGACTCCCGCCCAGGCCAACCAAGCCTTCTACCCTCTGGAACGGTAAATTGGTACCAGATTTCGTCTGGCGATGATATGAACATGATTGTAATTGGCTGGCACCCAAATATATGTATAGGCACATGGCATTCAATAGAACTACGATTTCTTGAATGGAAGTAGAATGTGTGCCGTAGACTGCCCAGCCAAGGGATTGATTAACGGGGTAGACTTTTTTATCTTTATTTTTTATACGGAGGTATTTGTGTCCCTGAGGCAAAATAGGCATCTTCGGCTATTGTGATTAGGGGGGTCGTGTCTACAGAATAATTTGCATGTTCATCCTGTTCTCCTTCTACAGCATTTTATGCTGCCAAAATGGAATGTCGAGGCGACAAAATGACCAAACAGCTCCTGCCCCCCCATGGTTTTGAAGTCATTAATATGAAGTGATCAGCTCAAGCATTTTTGACGCAGCGCTTTGGCGCTTGAACAGGGCGTTAGACCTCAAAGCGCCTCAACGCACTGTTTAACTGCCAAAGCGCCTCGAAAATTGTGGACTGTATAGCTAGGGACGGACGGTCTCCGAGGATGGCTCGGATTTGGTTTGAGTAACTCGAAGATTCATAGATTACTATGGCAAATATGCGTCTCAGAGTGCCCTATTAGCTATGCTGCGCGAGGTGCTCACGCACCAATTTTAGCAACTTTTGCCATCTAGTTTCTAGTTTAGGTGACGCTAAATGGTACTTACTAATATATCTGCACACTCCTCGTAGTTTGGCAGAGATCACTGAGTGATGGGACGAATCTGGTACCAATTTACCGTCCCCAGGTGGTGGAGGGCTTGGTTGGCCTGGGCGGAAGCCAATCCAGAATTGCTTTCTGGACCGTGCGCTTGGTAAGAGTGGCCACTCGCCTCTATTACCTTCTCCTCAAACTGATACATAGAGCGGTGAATTCTTTACCAACTGTTACAAATGCTTCAATAAAACTCTGGCATCTTCCACGCAATATCAAGTTGGAAACGAACGCTGCTGGTCACAGGGCAACTAAAGACGCGATCAATGAAGCCTTTCCTTTTCCTTTGTATTCCGGAGCCATGAAAAAAAACTCCAATTTCTGGGTGGAAAGTAACCCATAGAACAGATCTTATTAACTGAGTTGGCTTTACGATGCAATTTTGAGATGAACTAGCGGCAGCCCAAATCCTTACTGCTTTTGTGTGCCATTGACGGCAGTGTTTTGTTTGTAGAGATTCAATGATTATTCCTCTTTTGGTTCTCGTTGTAATGAAATTGTTTTCAAGAAGTCGAAAGCTCAAGGAAGTCGGAAGCATGGCTTATCCTGATCGGATTAATTATTAGGTTGGCGGGAAAGTTCTGTCACATTTTTTCAAATTAGACTTTCTTTTTACAGAGAGGCGTACAAGATCAAAATTATACAGCAATGTTATTGAGAGATCCTTGCCAGTTTTTGGACAGTTCTTAGGAGCAGTTCGTTAACAATGCACGCGCGCGACGCCAAAGTTAGGACATCATCTCAACTTCTGACGGCGGCTCAAGTTGTGAGGTTTCCGGCCTCTGTAAACGGTTGAATACGGGAGGCGACCAGCAGTCAGAAAGAGCAATGTCTGTACTACATCGTAGCACGGTTTTTTTTGAGGGGGTGTGCTGCACCAGCGCGTTCAAGACGGACTGTGTGAATCGGATTTTGCCCTCTTGCTGACGAATTCCCTTCAGATTCATAGCTGCTTGCGTACGCCGACTTGACGAGGAGGCAGTTACTTGCATCCGCGTAGTTTCCCGACCCATCGCTCTATTAGATGCTGAGTTTACGCATACTCCAAACCCACTTCGTCAATTCGCCTGCAAGAGCCTAGACCGCGCCCCTGGAGAGATTGTCTTGAGGACTGCTAATACATTTATCTTGTGCAGCCTCCATATTCCAGGCGCCTGCTGTAGCGCCAGCGGTGGTAGAAGAAATAGTTTAAGGAAGCGCTTGAAGGGTCGGTGCTGAAGGTAGCGGATAACATTCTTGTCCATAATGCAGAATAAGGATGAGCAGGAGCCGAGCCAGTGACACTAATAGAAAGATCAATCCTTAATGTATAAATGCTCACATTACCGGTACAGCCTCTTCGGAAATAAGAGCGAATTTGCTCAAAAGTATGACAGAACTTCCCGCCAACCTAATATATCTGCCATTGATTCATTACCTCTGATTGTCTCCCTTCATGCTCGTCATGGTAACACGAGGAATGTGGAAAAGGAGACGATTATCTGCTAGGGAAATGTCACTTGCCGACGTGCATCCTTCACCACATTCAAAAAGTGGCTGCAATACACTCATCTGTCAGCTTCTGCCATTTGTGCCTTCCATGTCCCGGAACGTCACTCCTATTTTCAGTACAACATGAACGAATGCGTTGAGAAGAACATTACGGGAATCCCAGTGAAGTTCTGTTGCTGCAACGATGCCGATTACTGCGCAACAAACGAGTGGAAACGGTTATCATGCGTTTTTTGAGAAATTAATAATGATCTCAATAGCGGACATTATAAGGTCCTGTCGATGTGACAAAACACGGAGCTAAGCTCCGCCAAAATGCTCAGAAAAACATCTTGAGTATGCTGATGGAAAAGGATTCACTGATGAGGAACCGGTCTTAACGAAGTGCTCTTCCTTATGAGTCACAACGGTTGAAAAACTGCATGTTCATCCGACTTAGGATGAGTCATGCAGCCTCGAAGATTTGTGAAAAAAGAGGAAATATCTGAACAGAACTTCTTTCAGCGAAAGCTATAATGTGGCCAGAAGGGCTCCTTTTCATTACATTCTGGATTCAATTGTCATTCCACTTACACTTCATAGTGTCATCAACATTATTCACCTTACTGATAGGTGCAAGGCACGTTCTGCGATTGCGAAGGGATTCAGAAAACAGAATTGTGATGGGCTAATTAAATCAAGCGAAAAAAGGATGGAAAACCGCTTTTGTAAACCTCTCATTCTTACATTGCTTATGATCTCTAAACCAGCATAAGATGATCAAGGCCAAATGCAATATACGGAAAGTGAAGAAACGCTTGGGAAGAGAGAGGCCAGGAAAGGACGGGCATAGAACACCACGGCATTATCACGACGACACGGGCAACGTAGACCCGCATGGGCATATTTGGTGCAAATGGGTGTCAGGGTGGTACTCTTCGCGACGCCTGTTAATTTTCAGGATTTAATGCATATAATTTCTGCGATCGTGGTTCCGGTCACCTTGTACACTAAAGAGATTCTTGCCCTGGTACACCACCGACTGGTCCTTTAAAAGGTTATTTCTGTAGTTGTTCTTACTCCCCATATAGTAGAGCAATCCATCGACTCAATGCGGGTGACGTCTCATTTGAGCTCCCTCCCTTCTATTGCTCAACCATTTACGTATACGTCTGTTGCAGGAGTTACTAATTTCGATACTACTATTTGCGCAATAACTGAGGCGAAGGTGGTGTGGTGGCAAGTGATTAAGCTTATCACGTGCGCGTTTCACCACTAGATCCCTGATTGACCCGCTCGGTCTGGCCGAGCCTTTCATTTTTTTCGCTGATTGTCGCAGGGATATAATGCGAGAAAAAAAATGTAACAAGCTTTGCGCCTAGGATCTTCCCCACAAGTCGTTGCATAGTTCATATTACCAGGGGTTACCCTTGAGATTTCAAATAGGGGTAAGAAACGTGGACCATCAGACCAGGGACTGATCATATCCTGAAGCTCATTCTCACTGAAGCTGGAGGCTTATGAAAGCTGCACCAAATGCCGCTGTCCTGGAGAAAAAAAAAACATCAAAGGCAAGCTGCCCCTCCTGGCCAAGTGTAGAAAACAACTAAACGTGAGGGTGCAGATAAGTAGCGCATGTGGCTATAATTAGGCATATGTCTGGTTGTGCAATGGCCGCTACGCTGTAGGTAGAAAGATCAAGCTGGTGCTCACCCCGGTTTTCCCCATCATCTGTTGGAGAACAAAACGTAGCACTTCAGGAGATATCTAGTTCATGAAATTGGAGGGATTCATTTATGGAGTGTATCAATTTCAGGAGGAGCTGGGAGTTATTGACAAAGGAGCGAATCTGCTGAAGGCGCTGAACGATATTTTAGGATCCGAGTTCCTTGCGAGCCACGAAAAAGTACACGTGGACCAAATTATATTCGAAGAATGTTTTCGGACGTTAAAGGGGTTAAGGGCCATTGGAACCACTTCAATCGTTTTTAATTCCATTTGCAATCTACTCGATTACTTTTAATAAAGGTACTGACAATTTCAAGGTAATTTCACTTTTTTTTCGCTAATTGTTGCACTAATCATTCACTATTTCTTTTCCCTACTTTGCAATTTGGAACGGCGCGTCGGTGAAGGGAGGGGGAGTGAGGGGGGGGGGGCATTTAATCACTTTGCTTTTTCCATCGCTGTGTCGACCTATTCTAGACTAGCTTATCGAGGTTTGAACAGCTCGTTTAACATGATGGTTAAAGCAGTTGCACATCCAGACACTAAGATAAAAACTCCTGCATATGATTTCGCCGCGACCTCTGGCAAGGCGTGCATACGGTTTTCCCCGAGAAGGTGCGCTTATAAGGACCTATCAAGCCACTTTACGTCCCAGACGCCTCCACGACCGTCGCCCACAATGACGATCCGTTCCTCGGGTCGGTATCTCATTTGGCTATGGGCAAATTATAAGCGAAAGGAGCGGTATGACGCGGTCGTGATCTGTGCCACCATGAGTACATCATAATTAGGTATCTTCGGTAGCGGTGATTGGTCAATGCCTGCCGGGAAAATCGTCGAATTGATGTTCAAGTCTGAAAATCGGAGCTTTTTCTTCGCAGATTCTGCCTGTTTTCACGTTCCGTTCTTTCGTTCATTTCTACCTCATCCTTACAGCGCCGCTGCTAGCATTTTAGGCTAAGTAAGATAACGCATCTGTGGACGCTGCCTTTAATGGCTTGTCGCTTCCAGGGGTCTACAGTTTTTGCTAGAGTGAGCCTTGTAAACGAACTAGAGGAAGCAATGAATAGTATGAATGCCCCCTCGTCGCCGAACGAAACCTTTTGGGAGACATTTCTAAGAATGGTTTGAACAATGAAACCTTGTTCTAGCAAACATGCTTGCTGCATGACTCTTACATTATATGAATATGCCTTCAAAGTCTCTGATGAAATGAACAATCTGTTTTTTTTTTTTGTTATTCGCTTGAAGGCACGGTTTGGCAAACTTCAATCGTGCATAGCGGAGTTTAGGAACAAAACTTATAGTGTCCCATTGTTTGCTCGCCGCCCCCCCCCTCTCTGATTAGAACAGGGAAATTTCGGGAAAGCCCGCAAGCCTCTCTAGGTAACTGTTCCGCCACCTTTCATAGTCTATTGTTAACGGTATGGATGGCGTGCTGGGTTCATACTCTTTAGCCATAGATTTCTGGCCGCTTTTTGGCTCGCTGTTTCGTGCTCCAGTTTCTAGGAGCTGTCTTAGCGTACACATATAGTCAAGATCAACTGTAACAAGGGAGGGCCCTACAAGCTACAATGATTATTTTTGCCTTCTATCTACGCCCGCCAAGCTGAACATACTATTCTTTTGTGCTACTTCTTGTCTACCGACACGCGATGCAATTAACCCTTGAATTACTTGAACAACTGTTTTGATTTGCATTTTCTTGGATTGTGTTCTCGCCTTCTTTTTGTCAGTTCTTTATATCCTTTTAAGAGGAGCAATGGAATGCTGTAAGTACGTTTCCTAATGAGTCAAGGTAGTATAGTCATTGACATCCTTGAGATGTCGCGTCGTCGCTGGCATGTACACTCTATATCTCGGCATGGGGAGGGTGTGGCGTACTTCATTTAAGCAAGGGGTAGGATGGCCTAAGATATTTCCAACCGCCTTCTTCATTTCCGGCATATAGAATGTATGCAGAAAGGCCAACTATGATGTCTTGCTGGAATGACTTTTCGTATTTGTTTACTATTGAAGGCTCGCTCACTTGAAATAATCAATATCGTTCTGGTTTTCCCTCACAGAAGAGATGCTCAGATATTCTTCAATTATGTATTATTGCGGCTAACTGAGCGGGAAGCAGTCCCGAGAGATCACAGGGTAACAGAGCTAAACGGCACACAGAAGATTCAGTGGGTATTTTCAGGTAAGAATCGAGGAGAATCCGTAGTCGATCGAAACGCGTTGGATCCGAGTTTTGGGTTTCTTGAACAGCTCGAAATGGCTCCGGAAATGCTTGAATATTGGAGAAAAGAAAACCTTAGGTTTTTGTCGATATCTCAGTGATGGCTTGAAGGAACAGACGTTGTTCATCCACACCGCTTTATCGTTCAGCGACGACTTGCTACAGATCGGGCTCATGTTAGTTTGGGGTCATGATGCAATCTATTGGGGAAAATGGACGACGTGGGTGAATGAGGCCATGAATTACAAGAAAGGCGGCCGTATTGGACGCAATCTGTGACACACTACCTAATGGCCATGTTAGGAGCCGGTTAAATTAGCTTGTCGGTTCCGTGGAAGAAATGCAGAAATGAAGAAGTGCGGAAATGCAGAAATGACGAAAGCAATAGATACGTATCGACTTGAAGAAATGCAGAAATGCCGAAACTGCAGAACGTGCGGAAAGTGCAGAAATGACGAAAAGCATTACATACGTATCGATTTGAAGAAATGCAGAAATGCCGAAAGAAAAGCGAATTCCGTTGCAGAAGTGGGAATACTGCAGAAATGCCTGAAAGTGTGTACATCGATACGTATCAGTGCTTTTCTGCAGCATTCGCACTTTCCATTTCTTGCAGTTTCCGCATTTCTTCATCTTTGGATTTTGCATTTTTAGAATCGATTACGTATGTAATTGCTTTCGTCATTTCTGCCTTTCCGTCGACGTGCTGCCTTTTCGGGATTTCTCTGCATTTCTTCCGTTAAGCCAAGCTATGAACTCGCGATTAATAAGGGGCAATGCTTATATGTGTACTTATGATCCCGCTTACAGGTCATTGTGGATGCCATAGCCGTATTCAGAGTCCTCCAAGTTCCTACACAGATCGTGTAATGCGATGTGCATCGCTGTTTAGTTTGATTACTAACTGATTTATGCTTTGTATTTTCCATGAACTTAATCATTTTAATCGTAATGAACTATTAGGTTGGCGAAAAAGAGCTCCTGCACAGCTGTTGTTTGAACTATTCTAGAAAAAGACCAAAAATCATTTTGAATGTTTTTATCTCTGATTAGTGGAGAATGTCTCCTGAGGTTTCTGAAAATGGGTATATCATGGCTCCGTGGAAGTTTTCAAAGCTTAAAAATACCTCAAAGATCGAGGTACTCCTCGACCTGTCCCATATTATGAGTTCCTGTAGGGCAACTCCCCCATAGTCGAGGAAGCTAACTCTTACGTTGTCTTAAGGAAGGATATCGCTTGCCATAGCAGAGAGTTCCTTTTGCATCAGCGCTTCCAGGCTGGACTTATTCAACTCGGAAGTAGGCAATGTATAGGTAGGCCACCAGCACAGAATGACGGCCCTTTACTCAAGGTTCTTGAGGCGCAGCCGAACGTAACCACCAGTAAGTTGGCAACCTCTCTAGGCTCCACCTAACTGACAACTGCCATGCTTCTCCGCAGTCTCGGTTATCGGAAAAATTTTTTATGAAGGATGCCTCATGAGTTGAACCCCTCTGACAAGTCATACCGAATGACCGTGACTGAGTTTTTTTTTTCCTTGTACACACTGGAGGAACATTTGTGAGATCTTGTGGTTGGTAGAGAGAGGTGGGGTCCTTGCGTACATCTTGCACATGTTCTCGCAGGATCTCTCAAAGAAAAGTAGATTGCACAGCCAAAAGCAGATGTGCATGGGATAAAGATTTCAGTAGGTTATTGGTGGGACTTCAAAGCGGTATCTCTGGATACTAGCATAACGGTAAGGACTACAGTCCTCTCTAACCGACCTCACAACATGGATGACGTCAAGCTTGAAATTCTTCAAAAATACTCAATTTTTCTCTAGCGCTCGGCATTGCGAAGACCGCATGTTAAGATCAGGCCACACCAAAAGATCGTGGATCTCGATCTGAGAATGCGACCATACCCAGCTTATTCATCAAAGTTAGCAGTCTCTAACTACTACTTTTGATCCCTATCGGTCATCCTTAAAAGAAAAATTCGGAAAGATACGACGTCTACTCAAAGAGGCTCCACTGCTTTTCTATCATAGTTCCGGTAGTTTAGAGAATGGAAATGAGAAGGCTGTGTCACAGAAGGGCGACTAGTCTAGTCCTTAGTGTGATTACCTGTGATTGAGACATGTCTTTAGTGACTGAAAATATTAGCACCGAAAAAATTGTCAAGTGTCGCAGGACTTTTACGTAACAACCAAATAGAAAGTCATTCAGGAAAGCGTTTTAAAGGTGAGGATATACTCCCTATTGATCAATAAAACGGCAAAGGGCAGGGATATCGCCGAGTTGGTTAAAGAAAGGCGGCTCGTGTTCAGCAACCGACGTTAGAATGAGGTGCACAGAGTTATCCCTGCCGGAGGCTACAAACAGTGCTTGCAAAGAATTCAAAAAGGGGACGATACGACGCCAGGCCAGGTTGACAGTCCGGCTGATGGAGAAACCCGTCACAACCATCATGAAAAGTCGCAAAAGTATCAGTGTAAAAGCTAGGACGTCACCCGGAAGTGGCGCGCAGAACCCTCGCCCGAGTTCTGTGGTCAGTATGCGAGGGCTACCGAGGGTGAACGACCTCGGCCAAAGAAGCTAGTTCGAATCGGACCCTGAACGTGGGGTCGCTACCGAAGTCTCGATGAGGTTGCGACCTTCATAGACGGAGCATACAAGTGCTATGCGCCTCCAGGAAACGCGATGGATAGGGTGGCGAAGCACGCGAGATTGGAGAGATGGTGTAAACTCTCTACTGAGAGACAGACACCAAAAAGGAATGGCGTTGGCATAGCGGTAGCTGAATCCGATCAAGGCTGCAGCGTCTGCTTCCGTGAACAGAATCTCTGATCGTATCATGGGAGTGAGAATGGACACAAGGGAGGGGTACTGGACTGTGCTGACCATGTACGCACCACAATCCGGTTGCTCTGAGTTCTACTGTACCGTTGGACGAGGCCAATAAGCCTATGCGGTTCGGAAGAGGACATACCTCACGATAGCTGGGGTGACATGGCCATGTGGGGAGGAAGAAGAATCTAGAAGGGGTGACGAGGGCAAGAAATAGGGACAGGAACGGCTGAGGAGAACAGATCTATGACTAGCCCACAAGCACGTTGACTTAGCATCTGTAGCCCTGTCTTCGGAAAGAGAACCAGAAGATAACCTCCAGCAGTGGAGGGGACAAACGGAATTTGACCACTCTGTGGAAGATCGTCTCTCAAAACCGTCAAGGACATCAAGGTGCTACCTGGAGAAGAGCTGGCCCCGCAGCACAGGCCTCTCCTGGCAGATATCGCCATAGACCTCCAAGAAGCACTGAGGGTAGACAGGAGGAAATCCGGTGGTTGGAAAAATCGCGGTAGGAAAGTTAGCCTCGGCCAAAGGAATTCTTAAAAGCTGGACTCCGACGTGCAGATGGGCCAGTCGCACCTGGGCCCACGCAGTCGAGCTCATCCTACAGTGCGCAAAGGAAGTCCTGGGAGAGACCCGGGGTGGCATCAAAGGAGACAAGGCAGCCTGGTTCTGGAACGAGGAAGTCCAGCGGGTCGTCAAGCAGAAGAAAGAAGCATATAAACGCTGGCAAAAGACAAGGAGTCCAGAAGACTTGGCTGCCTACAAAAGCTGCAAGCGACTCGCTAAGGCAGCCGTCGCTAAGGCTAAGAATACGGAAATGAAGCCTGTAGAGTCTGCGCCTGGCCAAAGCTCGACACTCGCGGTGTCTCAGGACAATTCAGGGGTAAGTAAAGACTATGAAAGCAGAATGGGGCATTCTCAGGAAACCAGCAAAGTCAGGAAGAGATGGAGAATAACTTTAGAGGGCTTCTAAGCGAAGAATTAACCCCGCAAGCAAGCCAGATAGAGGCGACGGCGGCCCCATCGCTCCTGGACGAAGATCGAAAGTCGCGCGAGAGCTGTCAAGAATGAAGGTGGGGAAAGCATGGGCAGAAGGGGTGTCGATAGAGGTCATGGAAGGCCTGGAAGGCATAGGGTGAGATTGGCTCCACGACTACTCTAAACACGTAAGCAGCTGAAGAAGATGTCCAGATTGCGTGAGGGAGGCAGCACAATCGTATCCAGATCTTCAACACATTAACGAGTATGGGGACCCCGAAGGGGACGCGGACGAGTGCTCCACTATCGGCGGCATCAAGTGTGCTCCCATTCGGACCTTACATGACGCTGTACGAGCGCTCTGGTAACACAAGGCTAGGGAACTTGTCGCGCTCTCGCAGGAAACAGTTCGGCTTATGCGCAGAGAGGTCACACAGATCGGGCATCTTCTCGCCAGACTAGCGATGCACGAGTACAGAGAGAACGGGACCGTGCTACCGTACCTCTAGGACTTGATAATGGCATTCGAGACCGCCTGCCCGGCCTGTCTCTGGAGAGCGCTCAGAGAACGTAACGTTCCGGAGCACATCTCCATAGTGAAGGATATGTACGATGGGGCTAAAGCAGCTGTACGCACCCCTCACGGCTTGACGAAGGAGGTAAACATTACGGTTGGGGTACACCAAGGATCAGCCCTCAGCCCGTTCCTCTTCCTCCTGACGCTAGATGTCATGGCAAAAGAACTCATGGAGTGCCACTGAAATCCATTCTTCTAGCTGAGCGCATCGCCCTGATAGCGGACAGCAGGGAAGAACTCCTAGACAAGGTGCAGCAGTGGCAGTATCTGCTCGCTGAAAATGGACTCCGGCTGAACGTAAAGAAGACTAGCTTCGAAGAGTGCACTGAACATCGTAGATCGCCATGGCGAGAGCATCGAAAGGGTCGAAGACTTCCAGTACCTGGGGAGCAACCTAGCAGCTGATGGCAGCGTGGATCAGGCGGTGAAAGCCCGAATCAACGCAGCCTGGATGAAATGGAGGGAGTCCAGTGGCATCCTAATGCGACGCCGGTGGTGCGAGAAAGCTCAAGCAAGGTGTACCGGGCAGTGGTAGGCCTACAGCTCTACAGAGCGAATGCGGCCCATACCGCCAGAACCATGGAAAGGCAGCTACACTCAGCTGAAATGAGGATGCTGAGGTGGGCTTGCGGCTGGACACGACTCGACAGAGTCAGAAACGAGGACGTCAGAGCGGCCACACAGACCGCTCCGATCCAGCTTAAGGCACGAGAGCAGCGCCTGCGATGGTATGGGCACGTTCTGAGGAGGCCTGAAGATCACCCAATAAGGAAGGCATTGGAACTCGAGGTAGAGGGCAAGCGACCACGAGGAGCCCCAAAGAAGAGATGGAGGGACGTCATCAAGAGGGACCTCACGGAAATAAACGCCACAGCAAAGATCAGTGCGATCAGTGGCGACAATCTAACAAGAACAGCGACCACTGCGACGGCGCGGACTACTGCTAGCGGAGAAGAAGAAGATTGATCAAATAACGGCAATGCTCAGCATTTTAATTAACAGGTGAGTTGTACGAGACTTGCTACCTAAGCGCTCTAAATTCCAAGAAAAGGTTGAGATGGGTGGATTTCAAGAAATCGTTTACAACAGTATGTGTGATTGCCTCCATGTTGCGTCTAATTTCATATTTTTTTTATTCGTCATTAGCTGCTCTATTATACAAGTATCAGAGCGGAAAGGTGCATCTTGCTGGCTTGATTGCCTTGTTAGTGTTCATATACACTTGGGGGATCTCGTGTACAGGACCCTATACTAGTTTCTGGAAGGTGGACTGTTGTCGAAGGGTAGACCCAGTGAGGAGATAAGAAGAGCAAGTGCAACAAAAGTGAACGCATATGTGAACGTATTTTACGCGGTTAAGAACTGAGTTGGAAAAATGTTCACAACTAAACGCAGTACTTCCGCTCGATCAAAGGAAATGCGGGGCGGACACGCCCTTACAGAGCAGCTGTGATAGAGTGTTTTTCTGCTTACTTATGCCATGTGAGTCGACCTCTCCGCGTTTGGAATAGTTTTACCTTTGTGAGTGAGAGGAATATTTTCGTTTAGGATGAAGTTATTGTTACAGGGATCATTAAACATTCATTTAATTTGGTGAAATTAAAAGAATGGAGTGTCGGCTGGCGGCAAATCCAGCTTTTTGTGTTCAAAGATTAGATAAAAGGTAGCTCGAAATATGTGGCTGCCTATTGTGTGTTAACCGTATGGGATTGCTCCCTTTTCTCCATCTTTCGAAATTTACATCTGGCTCAACGACTGAAAGATGGAACTTCAGACCTCGTAAGTAGGAGGACCTTTTGAAGTGTTCTCGTTATCGGGGTAATTTAGCAGTGACGAAAGAACTCAAATCATTTCAGTAGGTGACACTACCAGAGGGTGTAAGATACAAATTTATAAATAGTTATTAACAAACTATCTTATTATTTGGTGAAGAAGATAGGAAGATTGTAAATGCTGAGAAAAGGATTATTGATTGAGAAAGTAGAGAAAAAATGAAGGAAAATCGATAAAATGAAAAACTTATGAGGGTGATTAGTGATTACTTCTTGCTACCCAACCTAAAAAAGATCTTCGTGGAAGGCTCTTCAGACTATGACGAGCTGAAGGCGGCAATTAATCCCGTCAGCTCTTCATCGTCCGAAGGACATTCTGGGGACAAGGAGGAAAAATATGTTTAGTAGCGTAGAAAGTCGTTCCCTCGAAAACTATGTGTATTGAGTTATGGGAATACCTGAAAGTAAATTTTTTAAAATTTAATTTTATATTTTGATCTCATACTATAACCGACAATACATTGAACCACCTCGTAAGTCGGAAAGTATCTCGAGTCCTCGGTTTCTTGAGCAGTAGCTTCTTCGTGTCTTCTTATCAATGAAACTCTTCAAAGAAAATTCTTTTCAGTTTCCAGTTCACTTCAGCTAGAACTGATGTTTAAATATGAATTCGATTGATATATTGTATATGTATATTATAGACCTGAGGAAGGGTTTAAGGCCCGTAACGCTGTCAAATAAAGTTTTCGAAGAGTTTCATTTGATAAGCAGACGCGAAGAAGCTACCCCTCGAATGTACACCAGGACATCTGGTGAAGTCGATAAATAGATGGCACACGGAACTTTAAAGACACTGGCGTTTTTGAGTTGGTGCTTTCAAGGAGAAGTAAGCTCGTTCTGCACCAATTTTACGCCAGAAGCTATAGTAATTCCAAGTTGCATATTCGGCTGTACTGCACTGGTTAAAAGCATTTCGGCGATCAACTGACAGGCACCTCTCCCTCCGCGAGCAGGTGGCCTGGTCTACAGTGCAGCAGCGGGATGAAGAAGCGCGAGACGAAGAGCGCCATGCCAGTGGTTCTGCCCTCGCTTTTTGGGTTTTTTCACGCCACTGCTGCAATTTCAATCAATAATGGTAGAATAGCTTGAGGACGGGCAGTGTGAGATTTATTAATCGTTAAGAAATCTTCCGGGATCATCACACAACATAACCTCTTTGGGACACTTTTTTCCCCGTCACTTCGTGTATACTCGAAACCCCCTGAGATCGGGTACGCGTGGTTGCGCACTTAAATTTTAAATGGAGGGGTCCGGTTTTGTGGATGTATTCATTTTGAGTGGTGTGAATCATGTCTCCTCTAACAGAAAACTAGCAGTTGTTTCAAATAAAACTTCCATGATAACCCGTTCCTCGCCATGCTCAAAAGCACGCTACTGTTTATACTCCGTCATAGGGATAAAGAGTTAACTCGTACTAAAGGGGACCCATTCAAGGCATTTCCTTTTTTTCTTGAAATTTTTGGCATCTCCCTATTTTATCCCTCATCCCTGCTTCGGCCCCTACCCTTCTTTGAGAGCAAAAATTAACGTTGAGAATTATAGAATAGTATAAAAATTGCGCATAAAGCTTTTAGCGTGACATCGTCTATGCAACTGCATGAACATTGGAAAAGCTTTCCACCTTTCACGTAATATTTTTTTTTGTTAGAGAAGGCCTGTAACTCATCGGCTGAAGCAAGAGTGAAGCTAAAATAGCTCCATTCTCCGACTCTTCGCACCCTTTTATGACGCGTTTTTTCGGCATTTAAAGGCAGTTGGCACGAAAAGTCGCTAAGACGAGTAGGATTGATAGCAGGCGGTGCGTAGCGCCTTTCCCAAGGAAGGTACCCTTGCGAGGCCCTTATCAAGCTTCACTGCGGTGCTGCATGAATATATGAGCACATACGTGCAGCCGTAGCTACCGTAGCGGTTATTGGCAAGATGCCTACGGGAAACTCGTCCGAAATTGCTTTTTGAGTCATGAAGAATAAAGGCTTTTCTTCGCAGTTTTCGACCGTTTCACTTCGTTTCTTCGCCATTTTTCCTATATATAGTGCCCTGCTAGCATTTTAGTAAGAGTACTGAATAAGTGCCAACTGTCTTCAAGGCTTAGAATCGTGAATAGCAACGGCATAAAAAATGAAGTAATAAATGTTTGTTCATTTATTGTCACGGAGAAAAACAATGTGGAACAACAAGGCCGACTAAGAAGTGAAAGCCAAACGAAAGGCAAAGGCGATAGAGGAATGAGAATAGCAAATTTTCTGACAAAATAACTTGTTATTGGCGGAAAATTACTAAAGACTTTTTACATTATATGCTATGATTGCTAAGAATTCCAGAATGGTTTTTATTGAGAATACAATTTGCAATTTGCGTCTTTCATAGCTAATGTAGTTTGTCCAGAGTTTGTTCAGTTTATGTGAAACTAAAAAGCAGCATTTACAAGTTATTCCCTTACAGCAAATCCAGCGAAGTGCTTTGTAGCGTGTACATATGGAATCACAGTAGAACCCGTTTTTGCTGCAGTCGAGTTCTTGTAGTTCTCCATCCGTTAGCCAATGACTTTGAAAAAGTCCTTGACGCGTTCCTTTGCTTTCTCATAAAGCGAGAGATTCTGAAATTACACGGAAATTCTTTAGTGATCAGCTTTCAGATGGAATGGATAGGCGGAGGCTTTACAACCACTGTGCATTTCTCAATGATGCGCCCTTCGTTTCTACCGTACAAAAAGGTCGGACGCACGAGAAAAGCTTAATAGTAGTTAGCCTTCTTTTCTCCGTCCATCCTGTTATCGTGGAGTGGATCGCACAAGACATGCTGCGCATTCACCTCCTACGACTGCCCTTTCAAATGAATGGGCATGCAGCTGCAGTAGCGTGCTACTTTCTTCGCTTAAAAAAATCGTAGGAATGGTGCCGGAGGGTGCTGACACCAGGATACCGTCTCTCGACCACCCGCGCTATCTTCAATGTGCAGGGTACATCGATACGGTTGTGATTTGTGAAATGATGGTGTGGGTACGGTCTCCCTCTCTCAACAACGACCGAATATGACTCTCCCCCTCCCCAGCGTAATAACTTCGTGTTTCAACACAACGATGCTGTACCCTGCGTGAAACGCATGTGTTGATAAAGAATAGCCATAAGTGAGAGAGGGCACAGACAAGTAGCGTGTTAGGCTATGGTTACGCGTACGGCCGCTCCCGCTGCAGCGCGGGCGGAGTATGGAGACAGCGCCCGACATCACTACTCTGCAGCCCAGTTCGACCAGAGCAAGAGGCAGGTTACAGCAGCCACAAACCCACGCACCTCGCACAGTACAGCCAAGAGCAGGATCCACGGAGATAAATGTACAGTTTTTCATAAAGGCGAGCAAATGGCACGATAAATCTCCATGACGTGTAGGATTCGTACAGGACGGAATTCAGCGCTCCTGAGCAGCCGCTGTGCGACGCCTTTTCCATGGAAAGTACATTTATAGCGCTCTATCAAGGTGCAACATGTCGACAAGGACGCCTTGTGCACCCGCCAGCACCCAAATGTCCCACAAATGCTGATCGCTTCATTTCCGAAGTACAATATAGTGTAGTTCATTGCGGACGGTTGGGCGTGTTCGTGCGGCTGCGTTTGGCGCGGTGCCAAACTCGTTCTCCACGAGTTGTTCAAGCGAGCAAATGACAATACTGTATCATACCTTTCGTATTACTTGTTTTCTACTGCTTTTGTCGCATGCCCGTTTCAACAAGAAGGCAGAGAACAGCTCAAAGAGGGTGACACACTCATACTGGCTGACACGCCCAACCGTCCGCAGCGAAGTAGAGTGTATAAAGCAAAGGTATTGATATGAAGTGGCTGTGGTGTTACCGCATCTACAGTAGCGGTTGTTGGCATGATGCCAAAGGGAAACTCGTCCAAAATCTGCTTTCTGAGTCGTGTAGAACAAAGGCTTTTTTGCAGGTTTTTGACCGTTTCACTTCGCTTTTTCGCCATTTTCTCACTATATAGCACCCCTGCTACCATTCCAGACAGAAACCAAATTATCGTGCCTTATCTCTGAGCGAAAGAAATTGTGAAAAGGTGATAAAATTATAGTATAGAAAAGGAAACTAACAGTGAGCTTCGAGTTACAAAGATCTCCCGTATTGCAGCAGCAAAACTTGATTTCTTTACCATTGAATATCTGCGTGATACATTTGTTTCGACTGAGCTGCAAGTGAAAATGAACATTGAAATGAAATTTGAATCTAACCTCACTGGATTACTGGAGCAGTTGTGAGAATAAGCGAATGTCACTCACGAAACATCTGGTGGTTGAACATCCCGCCATAGACAACTGATTCAACTGGGAAATATCAGCTGTTGCATTATAACAGTAGTCAGACGAGGATGGGCAGGTGGTTTTTGAAGTACCTGAAAACGCCGTGAAATTATGAAGTTGTCCAAGTTTTCAGATAGACTTTTATATTTCTTTTATTATTTCTTTTTTGACTTTTATATTTCTTTCCGGTAGATTTTTATATTCTCCGCTGCCTAGAGTGAACCAAGGCGGCCACAAAATAAAAGTGTAGAGGAACTAGAGTCAGCCAATAAAGTCACTGAAATTGTCAATATACGGGGGGGGGGCAATAAAAAAAGACACTTTTCTTCCTTGACTTTCGAGGCGCTATAAGTTACACTTTATTGAATTCTGATCGGACCTTTTTACTACCATATTGAAGAGCATATTAAATACTATCATGATGCTCCGCCACAGCCTTCACCACCGCCATCGAGAGATTCTGCCACGCAACCATGGTTCGGTGCCTGAGTTCAGCGAGATCGTTGATTTCTCCGCCACTGTAGACCACCCTATTGAACTCCGCCCGAACCAGGTAATTGATGGGTTTAGGTCAGGTGACCCGCGCTTGATATCCCATCTTCTTCAGGAGCTCAACGCCCTTCCATTCCAAGTAGGCAAGAGTTTTCCATCCTTCAAATTTATGTGGTCTCGCCCAATACTGTAGCAGTACACGAGTTGCTCAATGTAACCGTCAGCGCTCACTTTATTTCCGGGGTCCACGAAGAAAATATTGGTTTTACCATTCCAGGTACGTCCGGTCCACACCATCAACTCGCGCCTTGACGACTGTTGGTGACGATGAGATGTCCAAGCGTAGCGACGTTTCGAGCTGCTCGATGTTGAAGCTCATCCGGATCGAGAGTACTGGTCTCCAAGTACAGTCCTCATCATTGGTGGGGCGTGTCTGCCCAGAAGGAGTGCGCACACTGTTGAAGCCCTTCAGTCCTTTTTGTTGCAACGCGTATTGCGGAACAAAAGGTCTAGAAACGAATAATACGAAGGATATTATACAGTAATGCACTTGTTCGCTTCAAAAACTGGTGCAGAACGACTTTGCCAAACCGCACCAAATGCAGCCGCACTGCCACGCCCCACCGGTCCGCAATGATGAGGACTGTAGCTATCCATGGGGGACTCCATACTAGAGGTTTCGCAGCAGTTTGGAGATGACATGAATTCCAAAGGCCTTCCTCCAGTCAGGCTCCGACTGGAGATGACTTCATATGTTGATCGCTATGATGAGAGGTGAGTGGGGCGAGTGCCAGCTCCTGGCTTAAATGGAACTCTTGGGTTATCTTCGCGGCCGTGGTTACGTCGTGTCCAGCGTCCTCTGTACTGGGCTGCGAAAATTTCGCTGATGTGTAACTCTGTCGAAGTGACTTTTTTACCCCCCCCCCCGTACAAGTGACGATTTTCATGCTTTTTCGTCCTGCAGCTTTTTTCACTGAAAGGCGGGCCTTGAAGGCGGAGTCTGGAGGCGGAGTCACTGGAAAAAAGGAGGCGTCACTGAACCTATATTGCGCTATAGCGCCCCTCCCTTACAATTTTTTGCCGCGAAACCGGTACAAGGTTGTTCGCCGCGGACCACACTACCCTCCCACGCCATGTTTCAACTTCGATACCTGATCGCGGACCGTGCCTTTAAAGGCAAATTATGAAGCGAAGGCATTGGTATGAAGCGGCCGTGATGCTGCATGGATATATGAGTACACATATGCAGCCGTACCTTCGGTAGCGGTTATTGGTAAGATGCCTTCGGGAAACTCGTCCAAAATTGATTACTAACACAGTGAGAACGAGGCTCTTTTTTCGCAGGATTTTGACCGTTTCACTCCGTTCTTTCGCCATTTCCCCACTATATAGCGCCCTACTAGCATTTTAGGCCAAGCACCAAATCATCGTGCCAACTGCCTTTAAGGAACGGTGTTGACGCGGAATGAATTAATCAAAGCGAATTTGCCCTATGGGAATGTGTTAGGCCGCGTTCATAGCTTGCGACCGTGAAGAAATGCAGAAATGCGGAAACTGCAGAAGTGCGGAAAGAATCTGCAGAAATGACGAAAAGCAATACATACGTATCGATTTGAAGAAATGCAGAAATGCGAAAGTGAA